ACAGCATCTCCACGCTCTAAGTCCTCCTCTTATGCCCTGCCGGCACTGCTTCCGGCCATCCTTAAGCCTGGTTCAGGGTCCACTTAATGTGGACATGCTAGTTCGAATTAGCAAAACGCTAATTCGAACTAGTTTTTAGTTTTAGATGCGTTAGTTCGAATGAGCTTCGTTCGAATTAAGTAATTCGAACTAAGTTAGTTCGAATTAGTGCTGTAGTATAGACGTACCCTAAGTTCCCTTGGCCACATGCAGAGTCAGGGTAACACTTAAATTGTGCTGGGAGGCACCAGCAACTCTGGGCTTGCAGCATCCACTACCAAAGTAAAATAAAAGGGGTGGGGCCCGAGACAGCACACGTGTGTGGGACTGAGGGTGCCCTGTACGTGCCAACAACGCAGCCAGTGTAGGAGGAAAGGCAACTGACTGACATGGGATCTGCTCCTGTCAGATGTGTTCAGTCTTTTCTATTCCATCCCCTACTATTCCTTCCTCAGGTGCAGGCTGGGCTTGCTGCAGACCCACTTCTTCATAGATGAGCACTTGGAGGAGTAGACAGCAACGTCGTTCAGGTATGCACAGTTTTCGCCTTCTGTCACATGAAACCTGCAAAGGGGAGACCAGCAGGGGGCAGAGTCAGTCGGTGCTGGGCTGGGCAGAGCGGGGATGTCGGACACAGCTCAGGGGCTGATGGGATTTCCCTTTCCTGAACCAATACAAGGGGGAAGGGAATCCAGAGGGGGAGCTTTAACATGGGCCACAATGGGAGCCGAGGGAGAAAGAGGCCGGGGCTGGTGTCAGGATCTGGGGCAAACACAGGCAGCAGCGGTGGCAGGAGCTTGGCAGCCAGGGACTGAAGCCGGGGGCCAGAGCCAGTAGCTGGGTGAAGAGTCAAGGTGAGGGTGAAGCCTGACTCCGAATTTGGGCCACATTGCCATTAGAATCCAAATCAGAGCCAAGCCCCATACCAAGCAGAGCAGCTGCCTGCACACTTCTTGCTGCCCCTTCAAGGGCTTCTGTAAGATCAAGGAGCCAAACAGGGACTGTGAAAACAACAGTCAGGTCACTTGAGGCAGGACTTCCTGTGCTGAGAGTAGGACACAGGAAATATCTGGGGTACAGCATGTGACAGGCTGGGGATAGGGATTCCTTTGTGTGCCTGGGTTCGAGTCTTACTGCCTCTTACTTCAGGCCTCTTCCCGGAGGCTTTATACTGGGCTGATATTTTCATGCCAAGTCCTTCACTCCCCACCTATATTTGAGGTTTTCCTTCAGCCCCACTCTTCCCTCTGATCTCACCCGGCGTGGATTACGAGTCCAAGCACATGCCTGTGAGACCATGGGCAAATCTGCCTCTATTTCCTCTCCAACCTTGGGTCTTTCAAGCTGTTTCTCTCTCACACTCTGGGTGTGTCTAGACTACCTAGTTTTGTCGACAAAAGTGGACTTTTGTCGACAAAACTATACCTGCGTCTA